CAATTAAAAATCATGAAAAGTCATACATTCTGGATTCATTACAAATCTACTGAAATATCGCAAGCCTTTTATTGTTTTAATATCGCTGATTATGGCGTACAGCTGAAGAAAACTCAAAAATCCGGTATTCTAATATTTTAAGATAGGATATTTGGGTTTTCTTCAGCTGTAAGCCATAATCAGCGATATTAAAACAATAAAAGGCTTCATTTCAGTTGATTTGTAATGAATCCAGAATGTATGACATTTCATGATTTTTAATTGCATTACAGAAAATAAAGAACTTTATCACAATATTCTAATTTTCTGAGACAGTCCTGTATATGAATATCCATCCATTATTCCATCCATCCATCCATTATCCTAACCCCTTATTCCCTAATGGGGTCTAGGGGGGGTGGAGCCTATCCCAGTAGCCAATGGGGAGAGGCGGGGTCCCCCTGGATGGTCCCCAGTCCATCACAGGGACACACAGAGACACGCAAGGACCAACAACCACACACACTCACACTAAGGGCAGTTTGGAGTCCAACAACCTAACATGCAGGTTTTTGGAGGGTGGGAGGAAGCCGGAGAACCCGGAGAGAACCCACAGACACAGGAGAACATGCAGAACCACCCAGAAAGGTCCTGGTTCCCCCGGGTACTAGAACCCAGAACCCTCTGGTCCTGGTTCCCCCGGGACTCCCACCCAGAACCCTCTGGTCCTGGTTCTCCCGGGGACTATAGACAATTAGTCCATAAACGATTATTTATTTGGTTTTCAGTCCACTTCTTTGGATCCTGGAAGTCCATATAGAGATGGAGGAAGACTTATTTGGCAGAATAATCATTGTTTTGTGGGTTAACTTATCTGTTCAGGACACCTCAAACATCCAGAGGAAAAGGTTTTTTCCTAGAAAACACAATGGCATTGAAAAACTCCTATAGATCCCATAGATGATGCCTCTAATCGTCGGGCCATCAGGCTGATTCACAGCATTTGACGAGACGGGCAGCTTACTGTCGCCTTTAATAGAGGTGATAAGGACAACGTGTCCTTCTTGTTTAGTCCATTAGTTGCTGCTCTGATGGGAGACACTTAAAGTTAGTTTCCAGGGGTCAAATACAACACGTTTCTACTGAAAAAGTCATTTTAAATAGGACCGGTTGCTAAATAAACATCTTTTTGACTGGATTTCAGAACCAGATATGAAGGAATTTAACATAATGACTATTAACTATTTGACTCTTTATGCTATCAGACATATTATATGCCTTTATACAATTAGTAAGCTATATTTCGAGTAATTTATACAGTTAGTGAGCTGTAATTCCTGCTCCTGCTTTTCCAGGGGTCAAATACAACACATTTCTACTGAAAAAGTCATTTTAAAATTGGACTGGTTGCTAAATAAACATCTTTTTGACTGGATTTCAGACCCAGATATGAAGGGAATGTAACATAATGACCATTAACTATTTGACTCTTTATGCTATCAGACATATATATATATCCCTTTATGCAATTAGTAAGCTATATTTCCAGTCATTTAGACAGTTACGAAGCTATATTTCCAGTGATTTATACATTTAGTAAGCTATATTTCCAATAATTTAGACTGTTAGTAAGCTATATTTCCAGTAATTTAGACAGTTAGTAAGCTATATTTCCAGTAATTTAGACACGTACTTTCCTTTTAGTTCTCGTTTTTGTTGCCATATGCAGATTAAGTTAGTGTCACTGTTTCTATGGACACAAAGAGCTCTTTTTAGAGCCTGGGCGTGGTTGTAAAGATGTGTGTGTGGGACGTTTTGCAGCACTGCGTTAATCGGCCGTGTCCGAACGCCTCTCTGAGCTTTTGCTTCGAGAGCAGCTTTGATCAAAAGTGAGAGTTGAGTGAGCGGAGAGCAGCTGTATTCCCTCAAAGAGATATTCATTTATTTATTTATGCAAAGTACCGATCGATTTGCTGAAAGTTAGCTTGGACTGGAGAAGTCAGACAGTTAGCAAAGGTTAAAGAACAATCACAACAGCAGCACTGGGCTACGAACTATTTAAATTATTAGCCTCTTTCCTTCAAAAAGCAGACTTTAATCCACTTTGACCACAGTTAAATGTAGAGCAGAGTAAAGCTAAAGCACTAGCAACATGGCTCACACAAATCTCTGCAAAAGGCCCGAGAAAAAAGTATTAAAGTATTTCTGATTCTGATTCTGAAAGGCCCTTAAACTGCTTCGTCCAAACTGGGTTTGAAGGCGTTACTTAAAAGTTCAGAATGGTATTTAAATACTATTTAAATCTCGTGCTTTCAGGTCACACCAGTCAAATTCTCCCACTTTTCATCATTCAAAGCTGCATTCAGATTCAAAACATCCATCCCAGACACTCTTTTCCACTCCGGGGAGGTTAATGGATGCAACTACAGACACAGTAAACAGGAAAGTGAGAATTATA